GAGAAAAGAATCTCTAGTTTCCTTGAAGGCCTTAGTTCATACAAGCCTTTCCTGGTCTTTCACATTGCCAGTTTTTTTTCCACTCAGATAATCACATATCTTCGTCTCTTTATGTGTTGTATCTCCCTAGAGTAGAATGTTAAGTCCCTCAGGTCAAAGGCTGCTTTTCTTTATGTCTGTATCCCTGGGCCTGGCACAGTGCCCTTACATATTATAGATACTTAAGAAATGCTTGTTGGATTTGATTGGAATTAGGTTTAGTAATTTGTCCAAGATCCCACTCCTAGTAAATGCAGAGCCAGTATGAGAAACCAAGTCTCCTGACACCCAATCCAGAGCCCTATGTATAACACTGCACACATACCTTCTAATTCTCATAATGGAGAACCAGGAGAAAAATGTACATACTAATAATGAAATGTTAAAAAACCAAACAATGTTGAAAGGCTTGAGAACCTGACCAACACAATTATGATCCCTGAGGATGGATGAAGAAGAATGCTACCCACTTCCTGCCAGAATGGTGAATTGACTCAAGATGCAGAACAAGACACACATTTTTGGACATGGCCAATATGGGAATTTGATTTGCATGACTATTCATGTTTGTTATATAGGGGTTTTTCTTTTTTCTTTTTTCTTTTTTTCAGTAGGTGGAAGAGGTAGGAGAGATACAAGAAATGCTTGTTAATTGAAAAAAAAATTTTAATTAAAAAGTTAACTCTGCTGCTGGGATTATAGGTTGGTGATTATAGGAGGGTGAAGCTCATTCAGCTCATTCCATGCCCTGCACAAAAAAACCCAAAATGGCATCACAAAGACAGACACAACTGAAATGACTGAACAATAAAAAAAAAAAGATATGTAACTCAGACAGGAGCAAATGATCTTATGTCCATTTTTGAGTATGACATCAACTGGTGGCCTTCCCTTCCTTGTTAGCATTCATAGTGGACACCATCTTGATTTTCCAGTTACTTCTTGCATAGGTAAGTAACTTCAAGCTGTCATTGGTGGAGGAAGGTTTACTGGTCGTGTCCGCTTGCCAGTGTGGATTCCTACAACTTCAACTCAAACGTTTATTAAATACTTTGTGTAGAGCATGGTGCTAGCTAGTGGGGGAGATCCACCATTTGGAGGAGACAGACCCTGCCCTCACAGAGCTTAAGGTCTAAAGGGATGAATAGCAAGAAAATAAAACATCAACTATGTAAGAAAGATGCAAACTGACTGCTTTTCAAAGATTAAGCTAAGGTTGAAGCCATTATTGACTGGGGGGATTGAGGAAATCCTGATGAACCAAGTGATATTTGAGACAGTCTCAAAGGAAGGATAGAGGGGAAACAGCGACTATTTCAGTGACAGGGACTGGACCTGTACCAGCTAAGGTTTGGAACATGGCAGCACCATAGGGTCTATAGGCAATCAGAAGTAATATAAGTTATATATAGACTTAGAGCCAGAAGGAATCTTGTAGGGTATCTAGACCAACTCCCTCATTTTATGTATAAATGAAGAAACTAAAACTTGAGGGGGCAGCTAGGTGGCACAGTGGATAGCATGCCAAGAAGACTCCATCTTTGTGAGTTCAGATCTGACCTCAGACACTTTCTAGCTGTGTGACCCTGGGCAAGTCACTTAACCCTGTTTGCCTCAGTTTCCTCATCTGTAAAATGGCAAACCACTCCAGTATCTTTACCAAGAAAACCCCAAAAGGGGTCATGAAGAGTCAGACACGACTGAAAAACTACTGAACAACAACAAAAAACCAAAACACTTGAAAGCTTAAGTTATTTGCCCGAAGTCTCATAAATAGGGTTACAGGCATAGAGCTGGGAGGCGACCTTAAAGGTCATCTAGTCCAGTGCTATCATTTGATAGATGGGGAAACTGAGGCCCAGAGAGGTTAAGTGATTTTCCAAGGTCTCACTGGTAGAACTGCAATTTTCACTGAGGCCCCTTCCCTTCAAATCCAGCACTCCCCACCAGGCAACACTGCCTCCCAAGCTGAAGCAGGAAAAGTAAGGGAAGGGCCAAATCGTGGAGGCCTTTCCATGGCATCTGGTGACGGGAGCTCGTGCACAGTACTGGGGTGAGGAATGATGTGAGCAGATCTACACCTATGACAGTTTAGTCTGCTAGTTGTATAAAGAATGGATTTGGGGGTAGCTAGGTGGTGCAGTGGATAGAGCACTGGCCCTGGAGTCAGGAGGGCCTGAGTTCAAATTTGGTCTCACACACTTACTAGCTGTGTGACCCTGGGCAAGTCACTTAATCCTGACTGCTTCCAGGAAAAAAAAAATGGATTTAAGTTGGGTGAGAGTAGAGGGAGGGATGCTCTCCAGGCAGGTGGTAATACAATCGGGGGTCTACTGTGAAGTTGCTGTGGGAATGTTAAGAAAGGGACAATTTGGAAGATTCCATAGGACTTCCACTGCACTGATGCACCTTTGGGCTGAAACAGGAGATGTCTGTTGAATTTTGCTGACATTGAGTTTTCTCCAAACTATGAAAAATGTAGCTGTCAGGGACTCTCTGTGTGTCTTATCGCATCAAACTGAAACTCTTGTGTGGGAGGTTCTCCAACGCCTTCCTCAGTCTGTGCCTGTTTTATTTCTCCATCCTCCTGTCTGACCACCTTCCTATCTATCACTGACATTGAGGAGCTGGAGGCCAGGCCTCCTGACCAAGAACACCGTGTCCTCTCTGTCCCAGAGTGTTTCAGACGGAAGGGCACTTAGGGAACATTTTGGTCCTCAGATCTAGCCTAACCGTTCATGTTACAGAAGACTTAGCATCTGAAAGATTAGATAGATGACTTATCTAAGACCCGTCTTTAAGAAGCCGGAGAGCCAAGATCTGGCCCGAGTCTTTGTGATCATCATGTTCATGCTCCAAAGTCCTGAGCAGTTCCACCATTCTACAAAAGCTTCCTCTCTTGATCTTGGTCTTGATCTCCTCTTCTGAAATCCAAGTGTAGTCCCAACCAACTAGTGGAGATCTAAACTACTTTATGTATCTGATTTGTCTAACCAGATTGATGGCTCCCTGAGGCAAGGGAGATATTTGCTTCTTCTCCTATGTCCCTCACCTAGTTCTAGGCACACAGATGACAGTCAATAAAGGCTTGTTGATTGATTGGTTAATAGGTTACCACTAGTCCAAACTGAATGACTTGAAGAACCTGATTGAAATGCCAAGGTTTTTCCATAGCCCTAACAAATCAATTCAACAAACATTTATTCAGCTTCTGCTATGTCCAAGGAATTGACTGTGCTAGGCATCTGGGGATAGACAGGCAAAAAATAAACTCCTCAGCTTAACATTTAGAGGACTCTGGCCGTTCAGAAGTTTATTTTTCACAGAAAGAAAATAACATGTAGGTACACAGATAATCAATCGGCAAGCAAACCTTTATTAAGTGCCTACCAACACAAAGCAATTTCCAGACGGAGTGGGTATCTCACCAAGGAGTTAATTGTCACTATTATTATTTAACATAATGGAAAGTTCACATATTAGAAGTCAGAGGACCCGAGTTCAAATCATGCCCCTGTCACTTGCTACATTGTGACCTTGTCATTTAACCTAAATGGGGTCTCAGTTTCCTCAATTATAAAATGAGGGGTTTGGACCAGATTGCTTCTAAGGTCTCTTCCAGGGCAAAGTTTATGATTCTAAAGGGAGGCTCCAACCATGGCACCTCCCCTCCTCCCTTCCTCAATTAACTCCAGTGGCTCCCAATCACCTCCAAGATCAAACATAAAATCCTCCCTTTGGCATTTTAAAGCTCTTCATAGCCTGGCCCCTTCCTCCCTCTCCCATCTTCTCATGCTTACTCCGCTCCATATACTTTGCGATCCAGTGACCCTGGCCTCCTGGAAGTTCCTCACCTGTGATACTTCCTCCCTGGGCTCTGGGCATTTTCACTGGCTCTTCTGCAAGCCTGGAACTCCAGCCCTCCTCCTCTCTGCTCTGCAGCTTCCCTGGCTTCCTGGAAGTCTCAGCCCAAGTCCCACTTTCTTTACAGAGCCTTGCCTTCCCTCTGTTGATTATTTATTATTTATCCTATTGATTTGGCACATAATTGTATGCATGCTGCCTCCCCCAGTTAGAATGTGAGCTCCTTGAGAGCAGAACAGGCTTTTGCCTTTCTCTGCATCCCAGGGCTTAGCATAGGGCCTGGCAGATGGTAGGTGAGCAATAATGCTTGTTGACTGACTTGGATAGAAGCAGCCTGGATTTGGGCTGACAGGAATCATATACTCGCTACCTGAGCAACCTTGGTCTGGTCAATAAGCCAATAGAGGTCTCATTTTTATCAGTGAAGTGAGAGCATCAGACTGGGTGACTTCTTAATCTATGACCTTGTGCTACAGTTTGGTGCATTTGCCAGAGGCTGCAGCCTTGGAGTTGGAGGCTTTGGGTTCAAATCCTGACTAACGCTTACTATTTTCGGCAAGTCACTTAAAATGAGGGAGATGACCTAGAGGTCGTCTTCCAGCTCTAAATCTGTGACCCTATATTACGTAAAAGGCGCACTGGATTTGGACTGAGAGACCGTGGGTGGAAATCCCAACTCTGTTCCTTGTGCGGACTTGGTCAAGACACCAAGCTTTTCAGTTTCTCCAATTGTAAAACGAAAGGGTTGGAGTAGATAGCCGGCCAGGTCTAAACATTGGCAGCGTGGTTCAGAGGCCATCCAAATCCCACCTGTGGTACCCTGGGCAAGACACTTGGCCAGCGCTTAGCACAGTGCCAGGCACATAGCAAGGACCTGTTGCCTGCTATTCGTTCACCTCTTTGGGCCTCAGTTTCCTCATCTGTAAAATACAGAAGTTGGACTCGCTTGGTTCTGGGGACCTTTCCAGCTCTTATTCTATCACCGACACTCGTAATGCGGTTTCTTTCCTCTCTGTGGTCATTCCCCTGCTCTCCAACCCCTGCTCTGGGAAGCCAGGAGGCAGGCGCTACTCCCACTCCCACCCCACCCCCTCTCGCCCGTGGCTGCCTCTAGAGGGCGCCCGGGAGGCCGGTTTACCAGTCTCCCTTTGCCCGCTCCCGACGCTTCGTTCCCGAGCTGAGCAAACTTTTGGAGTTTCTCCTCCTCTTGCGTCATGGAAAAGGTTGGAGGGTGACCCGGACAGTGGGAGGCGAGGAGCCGGGCGAGCGCCCCTGGTCTAGCGGCCCAGCCCCAGAACCGGTGTGGGTGTGTGGGTTGCTACTCTGCGAGACCGTGGGGAGGCTGGGCTCACTCTCGATCCCGGACTGGGCAGATCGGCCTAGAGAGCCCAGGCAGACGGACGGACACCTCCTCCTCGCCGGCAGCGCCAGCTCGCAGGAGCTCGAGGGCCAGCTGCCTTCCTGAGGCTCCTGCAGCTGCTCAAAGTTCCCGCGGGGCACCCGAAGCCGGAGCGCCGGCCCTCTTTTCGCCACTCCCAGCCCTTCGGACCTCGCAGCTCCTGTTTCTCCTTCCACCTAGTAGCCTTCCTGGAGCGGGTGCCCGAGTCCTCGGCCTCTACGAGGGAGAGAGTAGGGGCGTGCTTGGGTGTGTTTGTGGATGTGTGGTTACAAGATGGAGTGAAGGGAGCCCCAGTGCCACCCGCGCGCCTCGAGGGCTGCGAGCGCAGGTGGGCCTCTGAGTTGGGGCCACCCTGCTTCCCGGGCGCTGCGCCGGGGACTGCATCCCTCTCTCCTTCCCATCCCTCGGTCCAAACGGAAGTGCCTCTGTTTTTGCTGAACTCCTCTGGCGGCTTTCTCTCCTCCGCCCTCCCTGCGACTCTCCCTCTCTTCGTCCATCCTTCTCTCCCTCCCTCCCTCTCCAATCAGCCCTCCCCCTCTGGACACAAGAACCCGGAATAGCATTTTTTTTTTTAAAACTAGCCTCTTGTAGTCGTTGCAGTTGATTGCTGAGGTGCCTCTCAGTCCTGGGAGGTTTGCCGATCGCTGCCCAGCCGGGACTCGGAGAGAAGCCAACAGGATCACACTTCATTCCCAACTCTTCTGCCTTTTTTTTTTTTTTTGAGAAATACCGCTCTGCGTGTGTGTCTGCGTGTTTGTGAGTGTGAAATTTGCGTTTTGTTCCCGTCGGCGCGGATCTGGGGGAGAGCTCTTGTAGCCACTGTGGGTGGTTTGTGTTTTGTGGGTTGGTTTGTGTTTTAATGATTGATTTTATCCGGTGCTTTCCTCCGCGTCCTCTGCTGTCGCTCCTAGTTTCTGGCTCTTCGCTTTGAGTCAGTTTCAGGCGGGTGGAAACTGACCAAGAATTAAGCAAACAAAAGATTCCAAAAGAATCCTGGCTGAGGGGTTCCTCCACTACCTTTTTGATTCCTCTCAGCCTCCCTCCGCAGGCAGTGAGGAGGGTTGTTTTTTGGGGGGTGGGGAGGGTGGAGAGGGAGGACAAGTGTTCGAGCCAAGGGTTCGGGGCCCAAAGAAACTTCCCCAAGACCCTCCTTTTTCTCTGAATCTAGGTTTGCTTCATGTTCTGTTTTGAATTGAAAGTTCACGTGAATTTTCCCGAGGTCTTGTGTAAGCCTTGGATTGTTGTTGTTTTCTTTTCCCCCGGATCTTGTTGGGAAGCGGGAGGGAGGTGTCCACCCTTGGATTTATTTCAGCCTTGTTAGGTTTTCCTTTTGCCCCTCTTGGGCTTTTTGGAATTTTTTTAAACCTAGTTCCTAAGTAGAGAAAAGGGAAGAAAGCAAAAAATCCTTAAGTATCCCGCACAAGAAAACCAACCAGTGAGTAACTTTTGGAGGGAGCTGTTAGTTGCTTTTCATTTTAAACTATTTTTTTTCTTGGGGCACTGTTCTCACTTAAAGTACCTTCTTTGGCCTCCTGGCCCCTGTTTTACAGTGCTGGTATCTAGGTGTGATTTTTTTTTTCCTTTTGGGAGGCTTAGGGAGGAAAGAGATGTAAAATTGCAGCCCAGAGCAGGCTGTGGGAAAACAAGAGGCCAGATGGAGACCGTGAGATGAGTACCTAATAGGTGATGGTGTCCTGGCAGGACCCACTTCTCTGGCCTGTATTGTCACCTCGAACCAAACCAGAGCCTTACTGGAACAGACTGTTTGAACCCCTCTCTGGGCTATGTCACTTTCCACCAAGGGAGTAAGACTGTGTGGAATGCAAGGGCCATACTTGAATTTCTGGCCTGTGTTGAGGGTAAAGGGGCAAGATTGTCGTGAATCCTTGACAACTGTGTGTGTGTGTTTCTGGATGTGCATGTCAGAAGGTCCTGTCTTTACTTAAGTTTACTTGGGATCTGAGCTGCACCCTCTTCCTCTCTGCCTTTCCCCTAGACTTTCCTTCCCTATCAAAAAAACAAAACAAAACCCAACCCCAACCATGGCATTGAAAGGCCGAGCACTTTATGACTTCCAGAGTGAAAACAAAGAGGAGATCAGCATCCAACAGGATGAGGAGCTGGTGGTCTTCAGCGAGACCTCCTTGGATGGCTGGCTGCAGGGGAAGAACAGCCGGGGGGAGACCGGGCTCTTCCCTGCCTCCTACGTGGAGATCCTCCGATCTCGTTGTGATTCCAACTATACAGACTATTCAAACAGCCCAGCCAGCTGTCCTAGCAATGAGACTTCTTTCTACGTCACCCCTGTGGTCAACACAGGCATCATGTCTCACCAGGGCAGCTTCGAGGATGATGATGAGGACTGGGATGATTGGGATGATGGGGGCACCGTGGTGGAGGAGCCACGGGGTGTTGGGCTGGGTACCAACGGGCACCCCCCTCTCAACCTGTCCTATCCCGGTGCCTATCCCAACCAACATATTAGCTTCCGACCCAAGCTACCCCTAGAGCGCCAGGACAGCACCGCCTCTGGCAAGCGGGGTAGCGTGGTCGGGCGAAATCTGAACCGCTTCTCCTGTTTTGTTCGCTCGGGTGTGGAAGCCTTTATCCTGGGCGATGTGCCCATGATGGCCAAGATCGCTGAGGCCTACTACATTGAAATGGGTCCCAAAGGCCCTCAGTGGAAGGCCAGCCCTCACCCCTTTGCCTGCTCTGTGGAAGACCCCACCAAGCAGACCAAATTCAAGGGGATCAAAAGCTACATCTCCTATAAACTCACACCCAGCCACGTGGGCTCGCCCGTCTACCGGCGCTACAAGCATTTCGACTGGCTCTACAACAGGTTGCTGCACAAGTTCACAGTGATCTCAGTGCCCCACCTGCCCGAGAAGCAGGCCACGGGCCGCTTCGAGGAGGACTTCATCGAGAAACGCAAGCGCAGGCTGATCCTGTGGATGGACCACATGACCAGCCACCCGGTGCTGTCCCAGTACGAGGGCTTCCAGCACTTCCTCAGCTGCCTGGACGACAAGCAGTGGAAGATGGGCAAGCGACGGGCGGAGAAGGATGAGATGGTGGGGGCCAGCTTCCTCCTGACCTTCCAGATCCCCACTGAGCACCAGGACCTCCAGGATGTGGAGGACCGCGTGGACGCCTTCAAGGCCTTCAGCAAGAAGATGGACGATAGTGTGCTGCAGCTCGCCAACGTGGCCTCGGAGCTCGTGCGCAAGCACATTGGGGGCTTCCGGAAGGAGTTCCAGAAGCTGGGCAATGCCTTCCAGGCCATCAGCTACTCCTTCCAGCTGGACCCCCCCTACAGCTCGGACGCCCTCAACAATGCCATCTCCCACACAGGCAAGACCTACGAGACCGTGGGTGAGATGTTTGCTGAGCAACCCAAGAATGACCTCTTCCAGATGCTGGACCGCCTCTCCCTCTACCAGGGCCTGCTCTCCAATTTTCCTGACATTATCCACCTGCAGAAAGGTAAGGACTGGACTGGGGCTGGTGCTGAGGTGGGCCTCAGGGAAGGATGGAGGGCAGGGGAGCCCCTTTTCCTTCTAATACCAATGTCCCACACTTTCTGTCTGGTCAAAACTCTGTTCTTTTCAAGACTCTTCTCTTGGATATCTTTATTTCATTCTTATAGCATCCCTGAGAGATAAGGGACCATTATCCCCATTTGACAGATAAAGAAACAGATCTAGAGAGGAAAAATGACAAAAGCAGAGGCAAGACTAGGACCCAAGGTTCCTAACTCCCCTGCCAGGCTTCTTTCCACTGCACTCTTTCTGCCCCTTCTTTACTTCTTATGGGGCTGCCAGTCCAGGGTGAATCCCTGTGATCAAGAACACTGGCTGCTATTTTTAGAGCTAAAAGGGATACTTAAAAATCGCTTGATCCTCATTTTACAGATAAGAAAACTGAGGCCTAGAGAGTATTAAGTTACTTGCCCAAACTACTAAAGGATGGAGTAGGATTTGAACCCTGGTCTTCTGCTATATGACAGTGCTTTAAAACAACAACAAAAAATCCATTCTTTTTACCAGGGTCAGTTCCCAAAGAGTAAGTGAAGGTATAGACAAGGAAAAGAGAAAGGGAGTGATTCACTCCAGGTTACACAGTGGAGCCCAGGGTGGGTCAGGGGAAATGGAGACCAGAAGTCCGGACTTTCACCTGGGAGCCCTTTTCATCCTGTAACCATCCAATCTCCTCCTTCCCTCTTGTCTTTCTTCTCTTGACCCTTCACCTCTCCCTTGTCCTTTTCTTCCTCACCCTGGGTGAGTCACCAGCTGAACTAGGCAGGTCCCTGTTGCCTGGGCATTGAGCCATACTGTCAGGAAACCTGGCATGGGTCCATCACGAAGCCTCCCTGCCCAGTGCCTCCCAGTTCATCATCTCGGGGTGAGGGGACACCATGGGAAGAGCTTGACTGAACACATGAGAGTGAGAGCCTTTCCTGCTTCTTCCTGGAGCTGAGAGGGGTTACGAAGGGATTAAAGGAAGGAGGATACTGTGCTAAGGGAGGTGTAGCCGTACCCACAGGCTGGAGCTGACCGTAGGTCAGCTTTGGAACTTAGAAAGGGTGGCTGGAGGGGGTTGGGCTGTGCCCACAGGAAGGGACAGGGGCTCTCTGAGTGTGGACTTCCCCTTCTTTGCACTAACATCCTTTCCTCCTTCCCTCTGTCTCCTTACCTTGCTCTTCTTCTGGTTAAATTACCTCCTTTCATTTCCTTTCAAGCCTTCCTCCTCCCGGGAAGATGGAACAAAGAACAGGTTGGAATGAAGGCTGGGGCCTCTAGGGATGTGGGGTGGATCTGAGTCCTGTGAAGGGGGAATAAATGTTTATTGAATTAAATTGAAGGGAAACTGGATGGGCCAAGTTGGCAGGGCAGGATGGAGAGCCCCAACTTCTGTGTCCTGGGAGCTGGGGGTTAGGATGGAGGACTCTAACATCTCCAGGAAGCTGGAGGTTAGGATGGAGGGCCACAACCTCCATATACTGGAAGTTAGGGGTTAGGATGGGGTTAGAAGCTGGGGGTTAGGATAGAGGGCCCCAAATTCTGTGTCCTGGAAGCTAGGGGTTAGGATGGAGGTACCCAACCTCCATATACTGGAAGTTAGGGGTTAGGATGGGGTTAGAAGTTGGGGGTTAGGATAGAGGGCCACAACTTCTGTGTCCTGGGAGCTGGGGGTTAGGATGGAGGGCTCTAACATCTCCAGGAAGCTGGAGGTTAGGATGGAGGGCCACAACCTCCATATACTGGAAGTTAGGGGTTAGGATGGGGTTAGAAGCTGGGGGTTAGGATGGAGGACTCTAACATCTCCAGGAAGCTGGAGGTTAGGATGGAGGGCCACAACCTCCATATACTGGAAGTTAGGGGTTAGGATGGGGTTAGAAGCTGGGGGTTAGGATGGAGGGCCCCAACCTCTATGTCCTGGAAGCTGGGGGTTAGGATAGAGGGCCCCAAATTCTGTGTCCTGGAAGCTAGGGGTTAGGATGGAGGGCCACAGCTTCTGTGTCCTAGAAGCTAGGGGTTAGGATGGAGGTACCCAACCTCCATATACTGGAAGTTAGGGGTTAGGATGGGGTTAGAAGCTGGGGGTTAGAATGGAGGGCCACAACTTCTGTGTCCTGGAAGCTGGGGGTTAGGTGTGGGGATCTGCACTCTTCACAAACCAGGACTGTTATCTAGGCCAGCTTCACACTCGTTTAGCTTCCTTTATTCCCATTCTTCTTGTCCCTCTTCATTTTCTTCCTCTCCCTTTCCCTGTTCCTTCCCTTCCCTTCTCTTCTTCCCTCTTCCCTCTTTTTCCTTGTTCTCTTTCTCTGTTCCCATCTACTCTTCTTCTCCACTCTCTTCCCTTCTTTCTCCTTCCTGCTTTTTCTCTCTTCCTACTGTATTTTTCTTGTCTTTACTTTTGAGTGCCCCCAGTGTGGTACTGTGGAAGGAGTCTTGGATTTGTAGTCAAGAGACCTGGGTTCCAATCCTGTCTCTGGCTACCTCGGTGACCTTGGTCAATTCATAACCTCTCTAGGCCTATTTCTTTCTTTTTTTTTTTTTGGCTAGGCAGTGGGGTTAAGTGACTTGCCCAAGGTCACACAGCTAGTAAGTGTCAAGTGTCTGAAGCCAGATTTGAACTCAGGTCCTCCTGACTACAGGTATATTATCTAGGCCAGCTTCACACTCCTTTAGCTTCCTTTATTCCCATTCCTTTTTATCCCCCTTTCTTCCTCCTTTTCTCCTTCTCTTTTCTCTTTTTCCTCTTCCAATCTTCTCTTTCTCCTCTTCCTTCATTCTCATCTCTCTTCCCCTCAAAGAAGCCTTTAATGATCGAGGGAAGCGGGAATAGGATGGAATGGGGGAGGGGACTGGGCTTCCTTCCTCATCTTCCCCTTTCCTACTGAGAGCTCAGTGGTCTCAGATGGGGGTCAAGGCTTCTACAGAGTTAAGAAGACAAGAGACCTGGGCACTGCTTCCAGATTTGCCACCACTCATTGTGGTGACCCTGGGTGAGCCTGACGCATCTGTGGGCTGAGTTTCTTCATCTGTAAGATGAGGGTGGACCTAGATGACCTCTGAGGTTATAGGGCATTGAGATTCGAGGGACACTAATTACTAGGGAGATGTTGAAGGAAAATAGGGCAAGAATGGGGGAGCCCAGAGGTAGAAGCTGTGGATCTTGTGGCTAGGGTGGTGCTGGGCACAGCCCCTCTGTGGACTCAGCTCCAGGCCTGCTCCTTCCTAGGAACAGCCCAGCCATCTCTTCCTAGGGAGTGGGGAGGGAGTGGAAGGAAGGCTTCCTCCCTATCCCCAGAGGGGATTTGCCCTTTGCAAAGGCACTGCCCTCTTTGAGTTGTTGGCCACTTTCTGTTCAGATTAAATCAGCTGGCTACATGTGACTGAGGAGGGGATATATCCCCTGGGATGGTAGGTCCTTGGGGGGATGGGCAGCCAGAAATGAGGCTCTGGGCAGAACTGAGGCTTGCAAGGTCACACGAAAGCCTGTGCCTGACCTGGCAAGAGCTGGTTAGACCAGCTCTCTGGAGGTTGGTATGTTCCTTCGTGGGGGAGGTTGGGTGTGGGTGGGGGCTGGCTGAGCAGCTGCTTGCGTGAGCTTTCTCTCTGTCTCTCTCTCTCTGTCTCTGTCTCTCTCTGTCCCTTCTTCTTCTCTTTCTGTCTCTGTCTCTCTCTGTCCCCTCTCTCTTCTCTTTCTGTCTCTGTCTCTCTGTCCCCTCTCTCTTCTCTTTCTGTCTCTGTCTCTCTGTCCCCTCTCTCTTCTCTTTCTGTCTCTGTCTCTCTCTGTCCCCTCTCTCTTCTCTTTCTGTCTCTGTCTCTCTGTCCCCTCTCTCTTCTCTTTCTGTCTCTGTCTCTCTGTCCCCTCTCTCTTCTCTTTCTGTCTCTGTCTCTCTGTCCCCTCTCTCTTCTCTCTCTGTCTCTGTCTCTCTCTGTCTCTCTCCTTTCTGCCTCTGTTCTCTCTCCAGGTGAGATCAGAAGCCTTTCTTAGGAGTCTATTGATTGCTCTCTTTCTAGCCCTGGATCCGCTTGGGAAGGCAGGGGTGTCTCTGGGGATCTTTGAGGCCTCAGAGTTGAGGAGCTAATCTGGGGTAATAGAAAAAACTCGGGGCTTGGAGTGAGAAGGCACCTAGGTTTGAGTCCCAGCTCTGACATTTACTAGCTGTGTGACCTTGGGCAAACCAGAGGGCAGACTTCTTAGAGCCTCAGTTTCCTCATCTGGAAAGTTGCAATAACACTAACAACAACAATAATAGTAATTGTAAGGAACGTGTTTTGTAAACCGTCGAGTGTTACAGAAATTGGAGCTATTATTACTAGCTTCTGAGGTTGATCCCCTCCCAGTCCTGTGAAGTCAAGCAGATGATTTAATAATGCACAGTAACTGGGTTCAAGTTGCAGTGGAAAGAAGTCAGGTAACACCAAATTTCCTGCCGATGGGGGTGGTGCCTGAAGCCCTTCTCCCCTGGCTCTCCAAAGGAGCTCTTGGTCATAGCTGGTTGGAGAGGGTTAGGCCTCTCTGGGAGCAGGGCAGGCACCAGATGACACCCTGATGTCCTTATGATTTTATGCATGTTGCTTTACTTAACGTCTTCCAGAGGAGGGCCCTGCAGAGGATCACCTGTGAAGAGCTAGGGGAGCTAGGCTCAGGACAAAGGGAAGAGCTCTCCAGGAGCTCTGGGCTCCCTCCCCTCTGGTGTTGCCTAGGCTGGTAGGGTTACATTGGACTTTTTGTCTGCAGATCTTTCTCCTTAGGATCCCTTAGGTCCAGAACTTTGGGCCTGTAGCCACAGCCCTGACTTGGGGTACCCCCTACTACCTCCCCACATAATAAGCCTTGGGGGAGAGGGGCTTCTCATCTCCAAGGCCCCGTTCTCTGGGCCAAGAAAAAAACTTGGGGGATGAGAGAGACAGAAGCAAAACAGACAGATGGACAGAAAGGGGGGGGAGAGACAGAAGGGAGACAGA